TCCCCCCGCCACTCCCTTGCCCCCCCCCCCCCCCCCCCCATCACCTGGGGCCTTGCCACAATGATTTCTCTGCTCCCGTGAGCAGGGAGAGGGGATGGTGGAAGTCCCCCAGCTGCTCTCAATTCCTGATTGAGAGCAGAGTCACTTCCAGGCTGTGAGCTGGCTGCTGCCTGCTTCCCTCCCTCCCTGGGGAGAGGCGGTGGGCAGGGGTTGGTGACCCGCAGCCCACGGGGAGCAGGGCTTGAGCTTGCTCTCGTGCCCCACGAGGCTGTTTGCAGCTTCACCGCTGCCTGTGGTGTGGCACTTCCTCCTCTTTCCTGGGGCTGCCTCTCGGAAGCGGCTCCCCAGGGCAGTTTTGGTGCAGGGGTGCAGGGAGGGAGATCTGCTCCAGCAAGCAGCAGCCCAGGGCTGGGAGAGGGTCTTTGACATTGCATGGGTGGAAAGAGACCACAGCTTGGCCACCACCTGATGCAGCCAGCGGGGACCTGGGGGAGCTTTTCTGTGTCTTTGCAATAGGTGCTTGAAGCCCTTGCCTGTTTTCAGTGACCACAACGCCTGTTAGGAGCACCCCCAGGGCTCGTGGCTGGGGGATCAGGCATGCTTGGCCACAGATTTAGAGCAACCCGGTGTTCAGGCGGGGAGAATGGTGCTCGCTTGCTCGGTCCCCGCTTGAAAACAGAGGTCCAGCACTGCTTTGCTGTGCACTCACTGGAGGCTCGCCCCCCCACCAAGAAGGAGCAGAGCCCGGCAGCTCCCAAATTATTGCTCCTCAGGCTTCGGGGCACAGGTGGAGTGGCCCTTCTGCCTCTTTTTCTTTTGCTGCTTGTCTCATCTGCCCACAAGCTGACCGCTTCCTGTCTGGGCTCGGGTGCTAGTTCCTTTGCCAGCCACGTAATCCTGCCAACAGCAACCTCCACTTAGTGCAGGAGGAAAGGCCCAGCTGCAGGTAGCCCAGAGATAAGGCGAGGTTTACATCTCGTAGAGCCAGGAGCAAAGGTGGTGGTGGTGGTGTGAGGGGGATGTTTTTAGACCAAAAAAAAAAAAAAAGCAAGCTGAGCCCTGGTGCAGCTCTGCAGAGAGCAGGCAGCACCCAAGCCTGGGAACCGGGAGTTTGTGGTCCCCGTGCAACTGTGCGCAGGCGCTGTTGCTCTGTGCTTGGCCCAGCGGCCCCGCTCGGAGGAGCCCTGCCAGCGGTAGGGGAGCAGGGAGGAAGGGGGCCTCCCCAGGGCACGAGGCAACAGCCCTTGGCTGCAGCTTTGCAGTGGCTCTGGAGAGCCTTGGTGACGGCAGGGAGGGAAAGCGGGGTTGGGGGACGCGGAAGGGGTTGCAGGGGTGGCTTTGCTGCTTGCCCTCCCGCTTTTGTCCCGACGAGGGGGACATGTCACTGGGGGGGAAGAGGTTGGAGCTTCACCCACGAGCACGGAGAGGTGCCCAAAGGGTGTTGGCAGAGTTTGGGTGACAAGGTAGGGCAGAGTGTACATCAGGCACCCCGTATGCGCCACACGGCCAGCTGGCATGGCCACAGGCTGCCCTGCGGCACAGCTGGTGGTGGGCAAGGCAAGGCGGGGGAAAACCACCCTGGCGGAGACAGAGAGCAAGAAACAGAGCGTGGGCCCTTCGCTCGGGCTCGGCAGCGGCGTGTGCTTGTCCTGCCTTGTTACGTGCTTGCTGTAATAATATTTCCCCTTTAAGGCTGGGCTGAAGTTATTTATACTTGTGGGGTGGTGACAGGAACACAGAGCGGAGCAGGAGCCCTGAACTGCTCTTACCTGATCTGCGGCGGAGGGGCAGCCAGAGGAGGAAGGAAGCTCAGAAAAAGAGAGGGAGCAAGAGAAGGGAGTCGAAGGGAGGGGAAGAGAAAGCAGGCAGGGCATCCCCGGGGAGGGACGAGGGAGGGGACCAGACGGGGAAACAGAAAAAGGGGGGAGGAGGAAAGAGAGGAGTAAGGAGGGAGAGGTCCTCAGGGAAAAGTAAGGGGCAGAGCGGCTCCAGGGAGCCAAGGGGCTGCCGGCGTCCCATGCCAAGCATCGCCAAGGGGTGCTGAGCGGGTACAGCCAAGCAGAGCGGCTCTTGTGGTCTCCTCCCAGCTCTCAAGATGATGAAGAGGCAGTTTAATCGGATGCGGCAGCAGCTGTCCCATCCCAACATCACCAGCCGGTAAGGACTTCTCCGCTACCTGTACCAGAGGGTTGGGTGGGAGCGGGATGAGTGTCCTGGAGGGCTTGCGCCGGGACTGCACTGACCTCCCAGAGCCAGTGGCCAGGCAAAAGGGGAACGACCCTGGGTTTAGAGCATCTTCAGTGTAAGCCAAGGGGCTGTGGCTCCCCAGCTCCCCGGGGAGCTGCACTGGGGAGAAGTGGGAAGGCTGCACTGGTGCTGCTCAGCAGGGACATGATCCCCAAGCATGGCTACCTCTCCCAGGGCCCACAGACGCTGCGTCCACCTGGAAACAGGCCTTTCCCGAGCTTGGCTTCCCCAGGATGTGAGGGCAATGAAGAGGGACCTTCCAGCCACATGCCCGTGGCTGTGCAGTGACCAGGAGGGTGTTAGGAGCTGGGACCTGCCCTCCCCGCTGAGCCTGGGGTGCCCCACGGGAGCCAGATGCCCTGCATAGCTCTAGCCGGCCTGGCAGTACAGGCGACCCAGGATACCCTTCGAGGAGAGGACCGAGGATCCTCAGAGGACCCATGGAGGACTTACAGCTTCACACAAATCCCTCCGGACCCATCCTACCTCCACCGCTTCCTTATTTTTCTCTCTGGCTTTCCAAAGCTCTCCCCTTGCAAAACCCAGAACTGAAATTACAGGGCTGGGCCCTCCCTTCCCAGCCCCCTCACTCCCTCTTTCCTACAGCCACCTCCACAGGTTCCCCAGCGCTGGGAAGCTGAGCGGGACGAGCCGCGTCCCCTGGACCACTGAGGTCCTTCAGCCAGCCCAGCAGACCAGCCACAGGGAAGCAGCTCCTACATCCTGGTGGCCTCTTGCTCTTCTTGCGTTCCCTGGAGGGGAGTATGATTCCCTTTCCTATCCCCCTCCCTCAAGATGTCTCATCTCCATGTTGGATGCACCTCCCTTTCATTTAATGCTTGGCAGGCAGGAGGTCTCAAGCAGCTCGTGCAGCCCAAGAGCAAGCTCTTCACCCGCTGCAGAGCCTCTCCTCTGCGGGCTGCGATCTCACGTGATTTTGCTTGCCTTCAACCAAGCCGCCCCCGTTTCCTGCGGCTCCACGGCCTCGTCCCGCGTAGGCTCTGGCGGGTGGTGAAAAGAGAGAAACATGAAAAAGCAGCAGCAGCAGAGGGAAAGCAAACGGGGTTCCCAGGGCATAGCAATGGCAGCAGACCATGAAGCCAGGTCTCCTTTATGGGAGGCATCAGGGAGGTTTGGTGGTGATGGCAGCTGGCAGGTTTTGAATTTGATTTTGAGCAGAATTTGCTGCAAACCAGAAGTTTCCTTTGCCAGATTTGCTCCTAATACCTGCTGCAAAACTGAGCAGACAGCTGGTTTCATGTAGGCATTTCTGGAGGGGCTGGTGTTGGTCTCAGTCCCCAGCTTGACCAAAAAAGATATCCTCGCTCCGGCACCGGTGGCCCCACACCTTCTGGCTACCCTGGCCTGCAAAGACACCTGCCGGGCTCCAACAGCACTGCCCTGGATTTGCCTTCAGGGGAGAGGCAGGCAGTCAGGGGTAGAAGGTTTCACCAGCAAACATCCCACCCCTGCCATGGCCCCGCTAGACACCCTGTCTCCAAAAAACAGGCCACATCTGGATGTTTTGACTGTGGTGCTCTGAACTGGAAGCCCTGCCTGATGGGGTGTCCGCCAGCCAGCAAGGTTGGCTGCCTTGCCGTGCTCCTGCTGCTTTCGTCCCCCTGGGCTCATTCTGCCCATAGGCTTGTGTACAATGGTCCAGGCCTTAGCCAGTGTCTTCTGCTCCCCGGAGCCCAAAGAGAGGCGGGTGGGATGCATACGGGCCTGCCTTCTCGAGGAGGCTGGGTGGAGGTCACCCCCATCTGCTGATGGCTCTTTCTCCTTCCTCCGCAGAGCCCAAGAAGCAACCGAGCTTCTGCCGGAAGATTTGCTGCAGGTGAGGGGCGGGCTGGGCCAGCAGACGTGTGCCTGCTTGTGCCTGGGTGTGGGAACCTGCCCTGTTCCTGCCTGTGATTTGCCCTGCCGGCACATCCCAGTCACGGGGCTGGGATCTGCCCGTGTGCCAGAGGGTGACTCCAGGACCACGGCATTAAGGGAATGGCAGGCTCCTGCCACGGGAAAGGGCTTCCCCAGCTGCTCACAGAGGGATGAATCCTGACCAGGAGCTGTGCTCCCTTTTCCCTGGACCAAGGATGCTCTGGGCTGTGGCAGGATGCTGGGTGGGCTCACCCACGCCCAGAGCTGGGTAGTGGGGAGATGGCCTCAGGGTGCCCGCGGTTAGTGAAAGGTCTCCCCCAGTCCCACCCTTCTGCCCCCAGATCGAGCAGAGGATCGAGCCGGCCAAGCGAGCAGCTCACAGCGTGTCCAAGAGGCTCCAAGCCTGCCTGCAGGGGCAATGCGGCTCTGAGATGGACAAGCGAGTGGTGAGTGGAGTCCTCCCTCCACAGTCCGCGCTTGCCCTGGCTCTGTCCCCCACCAGCAAAGGGAACGCCAGGCCCCTGCTTTGCAGGCTTTGCCAAAGGGTGGCCCAAAGCTCAGCCCACGTTCCATCTCCAGCAGTGGCCACCAGCAGGTGCCCAGGTAGAGCAGAGCAGGACAGCCTTCTCAACCATCACTAACTTGAGGCCTCCTGGGACAGAGAGATGGTGTTTTTGCGTTGAATAACCCTCCAAAGCACTGTTGCTCGTGTCCCTTCCTGAACCCCTGTGAACCTCTGGCACCCATGGTGCCCTGCAGTGAGGAGCACCACAGCACAGCTGGGCACACTGGTGCCACCACTTCCTCCTCCTTGGTTGGAACCTGCCACCCTCTTCCCGGCTGGTGCTCACCAGCCCTCATCTGGGAAGCAAACAGTGGATCCCCCTGCACTTTCCTTAGCCCCCCCATCATTTTGTGGGCTTCTCTCTTCTTGGCAGCCTGACAAGCCCCAGCTTGGCTTAATTATTCTAGGTCATTAAACTGCTCCATACATTTGAAGCTGTGGCAGGGCTGGGCTTGGTGACGGCCTCCATCAGTGTCACAGTCCACCACAGGAGACTATTTTAGAGAAGACCAGAGGTTTTCTAACCAACTATGGAGCCTCGGTGCCTTGTTTAGCTAACTGGATCCTGGCTTTGGCTGAAGGGACATCCAAAGGGCCCTGCCTCAGGCCCCAGGGCCAACGGGGTTGGGTGGGCCAGGGGAAGATGTGGGGACCCACCACAGGATTTGGCCACTTGCTCCCATGCCATGGTGGCATGCTTCACAGGGAGGGAGCTGCCACATGCCAGCTCACCATCCCTTTCCTGAATCCTTGGCTCTGTGCAGAAGAAGCTGCCCTTGATGGCTCTGTCCACGACGATGGCTGAGAGCTTCAAGGAACTGGACACAGAGTCCAGCCTTGGGTAAGTGCCAGTGGGACAAAGGGACGGGGGCAACCCCGAAAGATGCCAGACCCTGGCAGAGCCACTGTCTTGGCTCAGGGGCTCCCACAGCCAAGCTGAGCTGTCAAACCCTGTCCTCAGAGCAAACGGTGGTGTTGCAGGAGGAGAAGGAACAGCCAGCGCCTTCAGCCTCCAATTGTAGAGGGGGCCAGGGGCTGGCTCAGGGTCCCACATGGATATGGGTATGGTGGGGGTTGTTGGGTTGAGGGTAGCATGGCTCCAGCCTGCAGTCATTTCATCTCTGTCCCCCACACAGGAAAGCCCTGGAGATGGGCTGCTGCATACAGAGCTCACTGGCCAAAATCCTGGCCGAGTTCGAGATCACCCTGGAGCACGACGTCCTGCAGCCGCTCAACAAGCTCAGCGAGGTAGCCCTAGCTGCCCTCCCGGCTCCACTCTCCCATCCCACCTCCCCTTCCCACATCCCCAAGCCTCTGCAACTCCCTCTGCCCCCTCTCCCCCACAGGAGGAGCTTCCCATCATCCTGAAGCACAAGAAGACCCTCCAGAAGTTGATCTCTGACTGGAACACCATCAAGAGCCGGTACGGGGCACACCGCGGCTGGGGGGGGGGGGGGGGGGGGGGGGGGGGGGGGGGGGGGGGGGGGGGGGGGGGGGGGGGGGGGGGGGGGGGGGGGGGGGGGGGGGGGGGGGGGGGGGGGGGGGGGGGGGGGGGGGGGGGGGGGGGGGGGGGGGGGGGGGGGGGGGGGGGGGGGCAGGGCACATGGGGCTCAGCCCCCAGCCAGGCTGGGGGAGAGAGGAAGATGACTGCCCTGGGGAGCAAATTTCCCAGGGCTGGAGGTGAAGTCAAAGAGGCAACAGGTCTTCGGGAGCGCCCAGCCAGTCCCTCTCTGCAGGTGCATCCTGCTCTGGGCTGAGCTGCTGACTCCATGGCACAGGAGAGAAGGGCAGTGCCATCGCTGAAGGCAGCAAAGTGACCTGGCACTGCTCGGTGCCACTGAGATCGCCCCACTCTGACTTTTGCGGGGTAGCCCGTGCCATGCCGGGTTTCTCTGGGAGAACGGAGCAGCCATGGGTCGCTGGTGGCTCGTTTCCACGCTGCCCTCCCTTTGGCTGGAGGGAGGAGAGGAGGGAACATCTCAGGAACAGGGCTCGGGAAGGGTCCTACAGACCCTGGGTGTTTCAGGCAGCCGTGCTGAGTGCTCCCTGTCTTGACCAGGTCACACCCACTGGTGCGGCAGCGTCTTCCTCTGGGGGAGGGAAGTGAGAGGTGCTGGCCAAGGAAAGCCACCACAGGGCAGTACTGTGACTTGCCGTCCCCCCTGCAGTCCCCATACCCCTTCCACACACCAGTCCCACCCCGTGTCCCTGGCGCTGAGGCTGTGGGTGTGCCTCTTCTCTCCCACCCCAAAGGCTGAACCAAGCTGCCAAGAGCTCCAGTAACAGCTCTGGTGCTGGTGCTGGCCCCGGGGCGTCTTCTGCTGCCAACAAACTGGAGATCTTGAAGGAAGAGGAGGAGGAGGTGAAGAGGAAGGTGGAGCAGTGCAAGGTGAGAACGTCACTCAGTCTCCCCGACGGGGCAGCTCCAGGGCTGGAGACCTACTCCCATCCAGAAGCTCCATCTGAGGTGACCCCACGCCAAGACATGCAGCCAGCCGGCACGTCCTGCCCTCTGCAAGCAAACTGGTCCCTCAAGGACCAAAAATAGGGAGATTCCCCAAGCCCAGGGAAGAAGAGTAGTAAAGGATTCAAAGCTGCTGCAGGGAGGAGGCTCCAGGGGCTAGAGCAGGGAGATTATGAGATGCCCTCGGACTGGGAGCCAGCCAAGATGGGGTCTGTGCTGGGTGGCAGGGGACTTTCACATCAGCTTTCTCCACCTCTGCCCTGTTTCCCTGAAAAGCCCGGCGCCTTGTCTGGCAGATCCCATGGATCAGCTGGAGCTGGAGGTGCAGGGACCTCTTGTCCCTGAGCCTCTTGTGCCAGGACCCTGAGCATAGGGCAGGTCGCTGATGCTACCCAAATGCAAGCGATGAGGGCAAGGAGGAATCCCCATGTGGTCCCAGCCTGCCTCCCCACTGCACCCCAGACACCCTGTCTGGGCTACTCATGGCCCAGATGGGGGGCTTTGTGAAGACATCCCCTCTTCCTTGGGTGCCAGGGAGGAGGTGGAAGGTTGCTTTTCCCTGTGTCTCCCTTCTCAGGACGAGTACATGGCTGACCTCTACCACTTCTCCACCAAAGAGGACAGCTACGCCAGCTACTTCATCAGAGTAAGTCCTCTCTCGCATTCCTCCTCCACATGTGAACACCCCCTGGGGTATGTGTGAGCCCAGCCTTGTCCCCATCTGCACCGAGCCCTCTGGCCAGGGCAGGGGACAGCCCCAGGCACGAGCAGATGCCCAAATCTGGCCTTGCTCCATGCACTGCGGATGCATGTCTCTGCTAGCACCAACTACAAACGGAGCGGCTTGTTCCGATGACCCCCCCCCATCTCCAATCTGCCCTCTACCCCTCACTATAGCGACAGTCCCACGAACCCCGGGGGGTTCCCCTTGCAGCTCCCCCTTCGCCCTGTCTCCATGTGGCTGCGATGTCCTGGGGATGGGGGTATCTCCAAGAAGGGCCAGTGCTGAACTGAGCGCTGTTTGTGTGTTCCCTGTCCGGCAGCTGCTGGAAATCCAAGCCCAGTACCACCGGCAGTCTCTGGGATCGCTGGACTCGGCTCTGGCGGAGCTGAAGGAAAGCCACAGCCAGACAGGTACCTGCCGGCTCTCCACACAGCCTGGGGAGAGCCACAGCCGAGCCCGGGGGATGCGAGCATGGCTGGTGAGGCTGGGAAAGGCAGGTTTTCCCTCCTTGTGCCTGCTGCTGCCTCCCACATTGGGCTGATGGGATGGGGACTGCAGTGTGAGGCGGGCTGGGGATGCTGCCTGCCTTGCCTCTGCTTCCACCCAGCCAGCCCTGGCTTGGAGTGAGATGTTGGCGTGGCTAGATGCCAGATGGCCCCAGCAGTCGCTGTCTCTCCTGACATTCACCTCCCTCTTCCAGAGCCCTCCTTTGCTGCAGACACCCCGGTGGCAGGGTACTACGGTGTGCCCCTAGAGACGCACCTCAAGAGCTTGGGCCGGGAGATTGCGCTGCCCATCGAAGCCTGTGTCATGATGCTGCTGGCTTCCGGCATGAGGGAGGAGGTAGGCAGTGCTCCTGACCCCCCCGCCACCCTCCCCCCCAAAATGCAGCCCCCTGCATCCCTTCCGTCTTCACCCCATCCCCAGGGACTCTTCCGGCTGGCAGCGGGTGCCTCGGTGCTGACGAAGCTGAAGAGCAGTTTAAAAAAAAAGCTAAAGAGCAGTTTGGCCAGCGGCTCCAATGCCCTGGAGGAGTTTTACTCAGACCCCCACGCCGTGGCCGGTGGGTACCGGCGAGATGGGATGGGAGGACACGATCGAGCAGTCCCTGCCATCCCCCAACCACCATCACCCCCGCCACTCCCCCTCCCCTCCCAGGTGCGCTGAAATCCTACCTGCGAGAGCTGCCTCAGCCTTTGATGACCTTCGAGCTCTACAACGAATGGGTCAAAGTGGCCAGGTGGGTCTGGGTGTTGGGGCGGAAAAGCCTGGTGGGGCTCAAAAAGCTCTCCCGCCACCCTCCCTCCGTCCCTTCCAGCAATCGGAGCAGGGCTGCTCGGCCTTGTTTGCCATGTGGAGAGATAAGAACGCAGCACCTGGTTTGTCCCATGCTCGGCAGAAATCCAGATGGCCCAAAATCTCAGAGAATAGCAATAAAAAACACAGCAGGGTGAGGGGGAAGGCTGCAGCCTTTTTGATTGCAAGAAGAGCTTAGCCTATGAAGACCTGCTTGGTCTCAATGTCGTGAGCCCCATCTCACTGGCCCACCAGCCCAGATTGGCCTCTTGCTTTCGGGATGGAAGGGGTGGCGGAGGAGGCACAGCGAAGAGCCTGGGGTAAAGGGGAGAGCACCTTTCTAAAGGGATCGGCTCAGTGCCATTGACCCCTGCAGTCATGGTGAAATAGGGTTGTTGCTTGTGGCAAGGCAGTGCTCGCCCCCAGGCCCACCCATAAGCTATATTCATATCATATTAAATCCCTTTGAGCCTTTGGGGTGCAGTTTTATCGATGGCTGGCTCAGCTGCGCAGTAAAGGCGGCAGCAGGGCATTTCCATCCCCGCACGGGGCGGCTGACACTGGCCTTCCTCCCTTGCACGCCATGTCCCTCTCTGCCACAGGGAGTGGGCTGAGCTCTCCGCTCCTCCCTCTTCTCTCTCGCAGCTTAAAGGACGTTGACAGCCGTGTGCAGAGCCTGCAAGACACCTGCAGCCGCCTGCCCCGGGAGAGCTACAACAATCTGAGGTGTTTTGCAGGGAAGGGGCTTCTTCGGCCCCAAGCAATCACTGGGGGCAGCCGTTCCCTCCCTGAATCCGTACTTACTGCCCCCTCGCCCTCCTTTTACCCCACAGGTATCTGATCAAGTTTTTAGCCAAGCTGGCCGAACACCAGGAGTTGAATAAAATGACCCCCAGCAACATTGCCATCGTGCTGGGCCCCAACCTGCTGTGGACGCAGCAGAGCACAGGGTAAGGCCTGGCTTGGTGGCGTGGGAAGCAGCTCAGGGTGCCCTGAGCACTAACGCCATGGGGAAGGCTGATCCTGCAGCCTTCAGGCTGGTCTAAAGCGCCTGCGCCTCTTCCATCCTCAAGCCCCGTCCCTTGTCCACGCGCTCCCTGAGTGGCACGTCCCCTCGCCAAGCACGTGTCCGCTTAGCCACTCTGCAATGTAGCAGAGGAAGAGGCTGAGACCCGGAGCACTTGTGACACAGATGACCTCCAACACCATTGGCCTCCAACACCAAACTAGGGTTTCCAGGACAGGGAAGAAGGTCCACCTCCCATCCTACCACCCCGCCTCAGCTGGGCTGTCTCCCCTTTGGGCTCTGCCCCCTCAGGAATGAACACCAAAAGGGTTAATGCCCCCCAAACCCTTTTCTGATGCCTCCCCCACCCCTGTCTCTCAGAGACCCTGTGCAACTGGACTTGGCCTCGGTCTCCTCCATCCAGGTGGTGGGTGTGGTGGAAGCCCTCATCCAGAATGCGGACACCCTCTTCCCTGGAGGTAGGGCGAGGGCCTCACTCCGGGGGCAGAGTGAAGGGGGGGAGGAAGGGAAAGGGACATTTCTCCATCACAGGAGGAGGGAAGTGGGGGGCTGCTCTGGTTCCCCACCGTGGGGTCACTGGGGGAAGCTCTGCACAGCAAGTGCTTCCTTGAGGGGTCTCCTCCTTGCTCTCCACCCAGAGGTAGATTTCAATGTCTCGGGCATGTTCATGCTGCCTGCAAACAGCGGACTTGGCGAGGCTGCCCCAGTGGAAGAGCCATCCCCTGAGCCCCCTCCGGCTGGCATCCCTGCTCTCCTGGATGGAGAGGCGTAAGTCCAGCGGGAGCTGGGGGCTCTGGCTGTCCCAGCTCTCCCCATGTCCTCCCCTCATCCCACCCCACACCATGGGCCATATCCTTGCCAGATGGATGCAAGGTGCCTTGCAGCCAGGACCACCATGCCCAACCAAAGCTTGACTTGCCCCATTCTCTGTGCAGCACCTCGAGGGACCCCGAGGCCAGGTCCCAGCCAGCATCCCCAGCGGTGACCAGACCGTCTCCTGAAGCCGCAGGGCCACCAGCTCCACAGATGACCGACGACACCGCCCGCAAAGGTTAGGGTGCCCCAGATGGCACAGTGCTTGGGAGATGACAGCCCCCAATGCCACCTCCTCTGCTTTGCCTTCCTCCTGCCGTTCCCCACGAGAAAGGGTGCTGGAGACGTCCCTGCCACCAAATGAGAGGAAGGGCCTCTGGCCGGGGCAGCATAGCTGGGATCTGGCCCTGCATTTTGTGCTCCACCCCCAGCTGAGGTGGGACCACAGGGGTGGATGTGGCCGGTCCTCCAGTGTGGGGGTGAACACCCCCCCCCGTGAAGAGGTGTCAAAGCTCACGGCCCCTTGTGAAGGGAAGAGGGTGGGAAAAGCCCCCAAAGGCTGTCCTGCGCTTGGGTCTCCAGTATGGGAGCCGGGCAAGGGGCAGCTTGTCTGTCAATCTGCCTGCAGCCCCCTGCCTGACCCATGGCCGGCACCGCAGCCCCTTCTGCCCTGGGGGGAGACCCCGGCAGAGGGGACCCCAGCCCACCCCAGCTTTCCTTCTAGGCAAGCGCATGGCTCCAGCCCGACCCACGATGCCGCCGCCGCCCGTGGCCCAGCCCTGGAGCACGGCTCCTGC